CCATCCTGTTGCCAAAGCTCCAGCTGCACCTTATCTTCCCCTTTCCACTGGGAGCAGCTCAAAGGCAGGGCTGGCTGCCCCTCAGCCGCCGTCTTGTCCCCAGAGCCCCTCCCAGGTCCTGGCAGGCTCCGAAGACTGCTCAGTAGGAGTGCGCAGAGTTAGGAAGGAGGAAAAGGAAGAGGCAATAGGCCAGATAACACCTTTATCTGATAAAATGGACCTTGGGGGCCATGGCTCATGCCTGCAGCCAAGTGGCTTTCTAGCACTGAACCCCATCATCAGGAATCCCCACTGTCACAGAAGACGCTGGGCAGGGAACCTCCCCTACAAGGCAGAGCGTTCCCTTCCCACTGGTGTGCAAGGTCACATGCAAGAGACTGGGTCCCCTGTAGACAGCTGGCTCCCAATTAGGAGGAGGGAGGGGCTCTCCTGGGGGTAACCCCAGACCCACTCAATGAAGCTCTGTCCTCCGTGGAGAGCAGCGAGTCAGGGGCAGAGTGAGGGGAGCCTCAGGGACGGAGTGTGACGCCCCGCTGCTCTCCCCGAGCTCAGGGCCACCTTATGAAGTAGGTGCGTCGTCCTGGACATCAGCCGTCCTCAGCCTCACCCCCACCCCCACCCCCATCAGGAGACAGAGGACCTGCCTGACCCTCAGGCTCGAATCCGTAACCACCCTCCCCCCAGAACAGGTAGAAGGGATTTTACAAACCCCGCGTGCGGCAGGAACAGGAGCCCCACACTCCCCCTCCTGACACAGCCACGTTCCTTCTCCCCAGAGCCACACGTCCAGTGGGCTCAGCAGATGGCCCTTGTCAGTGGGGCCACCAGGGCCCCCGGCTGAAGGAGGCTGTATGCAGCAGGTGCTTCCTCTTTCACAGAGGGTGGAGAAGCTTCTGTGCAAGGGACACGTCCCTCCTGCTCCCTGTGCATCGGCCTGGGGGGTCGGGCCACACCACAGCATATGGGGGCAGGGAAGGGGGGTCCGGCATAGTACTGGGCGGTTTAAGGACAGGTCCAGTGAGGACCCCAGCAGCAGACAAGGGGAGACAAGACTTGCAGGGGCCCTCAGCATCGCCCCTGTGGGTGTGGCAGGAGGCCTCAGAGGCTGCCAGACCTGGGCTGGAATCCTCCCTCTGGTGCCCACCAGCTGTGTGTCTTTGGGCAAGTGACTGTACCTCTCTGAGCCTTGTTTCCTTGTCCATCAAGCGGGGACGGTGTCAGCTGCCTCCCAGGGAGGCTGAGGGTACAAAGTGAAAGGCAGGGGTCGAGTGCTGGGCCCAGACTAGACAACTGGGCCTGATGGGGGTCCTTCTGTCCCTGAAGGCCGTCGAGGGAAGGCCAAGGCGGACCTCCGCCGTGTCCTGCTGAGGCTCCACCACCTGTATGAGGTGGGGGAGGATCCGGTCCTGTCTCAGCCAGTGAGTGTGAACCTGGAGGTGAGTGCCCTCAGACCCCTGGGACAGGCCTTCCTCGCCGTGGCCGGAAGCCCCAGCAGGGAGGCAAACTCCAGTGTGATCATCCCCTCTGGCAAAGACCTCGGCAGAGAGACGCCTGCAGGTGCTCTCGTTCACCCTGGCCTGGGTGCTGTTTGGGGGCACGGGGCACCCCACCCACCTCTCCCTGGCTTCTTGCCTTTTCTCCTTCTGGTCCCTCCCTGGGTCACTTTGTCCCGCAGCCGGGCTCGTCAGCGTGCTGGCTGTTTCTCTTCGGCTCATCCCCTGTGGTCACCAGCAGGCACAGGCCTCGCAAGCAGGTGGATCCGCAGAAGCGGGGAAGGCCGCAGCAGAAGGGGTCTTGCCCCCAAGTGCTTTCTCCTTCTGTCGGTGCAGAGAAGCTTCTCCAGAACCGTCCCACCTCCCGGCCAGCCCGCCCTTCCTTTTCAGGCCAGAACGGGCCAGCTGCCTCCCTGCCCGCACAGGAGGCTGGGTCCCTGCTTACTTGGCACAGCGGATGGATAGCTACTCCTGGCCTCATCCCCGGGCCGCCCTCTGAGCCCTACCGGGGAGAAGGGGTCTGGATGTTGGAGGCAGCTCCTGTGCCTGCCCCCCCTGGGTATGCTCATCCAGCGCAGTACCTGGGGAAGCATGCTGGTGCCGGCCTCAGTGTCCTCATCTATAAAATGGGGACACAGTTCCCTCTGGGGATTTGCTGTAAGAATGCATGAGGAGGTGTGCTGTGCCGGGGCTGGGGGTGCCACCCCTGCTCCTGCTTTGCCTCTGCTCTGATCTGGGGCCTCGGGGGTAGCTCACCCTCCCTGTGCTTCTGTCCCTCAGGTCATGCTGCAGGGGCTGGGGTCCATGGTGACGGTGGAGGAGCGCTCGCTCACAGGGACCTGGGATGTGAGCACGCTGCACCGCTGGAGCTGGAGGACACAGGATCGTCCCCACCGCAGAGGTTTGGGAGCCCCTGGTTCAGGCCAAGCCGGGAATCCCAGTCTGCCCCCTGTCTCGCTCAGGAGCTGGCCAGACCTTGCTTAGATCCCAGCTCTGCCCTTTATGGCCTGTGTGACCTTGAGCAGGCCAATTTGCTTCTCTGATTCTGTATCGTCCTGAATCTACCACAGGTCAGTGTGTGTGTGCATGCCTGTGTGTGTGTCGGCAGAGCACATCCCTGTGTCTGTCCTGGGTGAGTCCTGAACTGGCAAGCATATCCCAGGGGTTTCTGACATCTGCCATGCTGTGCCTCACACTGCACACACCACCGTCAGCTCCTGGGAACCACAGCAGCTTCATGCCTCCCCGTCTTTCCCATGCTGTTCCCTCTGCCTGGATCACCCTTGTCCTCTTTCCTCTGGCCCACCCCTACTCAAGCTTCTGCGGAGCCCAGGGCTGCGTCAGGTTCCTCCTCTGTTCTCCTCTCCCCCTATTTCCTCTTTCCCATGCATCTCCTCTGTCCACTGCACACAGCAGAGTGCCAGCTACATAGCTGGACACTGAGTCATTTGGGAATGGATAGATGGATGATAGATGGATGGATGAGTGGATTGATGGATGGGTTGATGGATGGGTGGATGGATGGGTGATGAATAGGTGATGGCTGTTGGATAGATTGATGGATGATGGATGGATAGATGGATTGGTAGATAGATGACGAATGATAAATAGATGATGGATAAATGGATGGGTAGATGTCTATTTCTTTCTGCAGGATGATGGATGGATGGATACATGGGTATATGGAAATGTGATTATGTGAATGGATGAAAGGAAGGATGTATTGATAGATGAATGAATGGATGATGGATGGATGAATTGGTGGTGGATGGATGGATCAGTGTGTGGGTGGATGATGGTTGGATGCATGCATGCATGCTGGATGGATAGATGGATGGATGATAGATGGATAGATGGATGGATAAGTCTTTGGAAGTTTGAGTGTTTGAATGACTGAAAGGAAGGTTGGATGGATCAATGGACTAATGGATCATGGATGGATGGATAGGTGAGTGGGTGGGTGAATGGATGAAGACGTTTCCCTCTCAAGGTTGAATTTAGTGAAACCCAATAATATAAAGAGCAGGCCCACCAGACGGCTTCAGTGAAAAGGCTCTAGGCATTCAGTGCTATACTCCATGGGAATGAGGCCATGTATGGCCAGGACCACCTATATATTATGCTCATGGGAGGGCCAAAATGCAAGGGGCCCAGGGCAGTGGGGTCTTGGCAGGACGGGGGCAGCCAAGGACCTTCATCAAACAGTCACAATAGAGTCTAGGTGGGTACAGTGTATGAGAGGGATGCTGAGTGGAAATGCCCTGGGGAAGCAGGTGGTTCTAAGGACAGTCCATCTCCGCTCCCTCAGGCAGCTCCAGCTCTCACTCGACACCCCTGCAAGGCACCAAGGTCACCATCTACCCAAAGGAAATCCGGACGTTCTTCATCCACTTTCGTAGCAGTGAGCCCTTGGCCGATCCTGTGACTTCAGAGATACCCCAGGGACCCCAGGAAAAGGAACAGGACCCAGAACCTGGAAAAGCAGCATGGAGTGATGAGGGAAGACCAGCTGCCTACCCGATAGGCTAATGCAGAAAATGGTCAGATTGAGGGTTTTGTTGTTCTTTAAATAAAAACTGCATTTCACAGACCCACATGTTCTCCTGGGGCACTAGAGCTGGCCTCTCCTATCCTCCTACCTGGGTGATGCCTGCACGCACCCTCACATTCCTCCTGCCTGTGTGGAGTCCTCAGGAAGCTCCCATAAGGCAGAGTGAAATACCCAGTGTGACAGCAAATGCACCTGCCACGCAGGCCCCGCCCCCTCTCGCCCAGGCCACCGGTGTGACGTGTGGGTCTACTGTGTGCCTAATGCTGGGTTGTGGAGGGGGTTACACTGCGAGGACAGGGGACCCTCAGAGCACGTGGGTGGCATGGGGCTCTGGGGCCCATTCAGGAAGGCTGTGGAAAGCTTACCCCCAGGGCAGGAGTTGTGGGAAGAGCAGGCGCCCTGAGGCCTGAGCCCCAACAGGCTGGGCGCCAAGAGCAAGGGGCAGGATCTGCTGGGTATTTCTTTCTGCTCTCACTACAGGGCTCCTGGGTGGCCCACCGTGGGCTGTGTCAGAAACAGCCCAGGTGTCCAGTGTCGTGTGATGCTCTCCTAGGAGGGGACCTGAGGTGGGAGCAGGAGCCTGAAGAGGACTCCCAGCACCTTCCACTGTATGGGCCCCAAGCCTCATGGGACCGATGATGCCGTGGAACCGGACTGTCCCTTGTGATTGAAAGAAACTTTAGGGGCCCTTTCCATATCCCCTCATTGCCATTCCTGTGTGTGCCAGGCTCTGTCCTGGGCACCTGACAGATGTGATCTGGAAGCCTCCGGCATGCTGCGTGGTCTGGGTTCTTGACTCCACTTCTTTGATGGGAACTATGATTTGGATTGCTGAAATCCCTCTGCCAGTATCACCAGGACTAGCACCCAGGCCCCTGGCTACTGATATCTCCGGCTAGTGGTTCTTCCCACGATGGGACCAGGTGAAGACCCCAGCTACACAGAGGATGGTTTATCAACTGTAGCCTTCTTAAGGAGCTGCTCATCTTGAAGAAGTTGAAGGGTGGCTGAGTAGAGAGGCTACAGGATGCTCTTCTCCGGAAATTGAGGCACCTGGGTGGCTGCTGATGCTAGTTCCAGGCCCATGAAGGGTGGGGGAGATAATAGCAGTGAGCACTTGTGGGCCTGGCTGAGTCCAAGGGGCCCCTCAGCTGCCCTGGCCAGGAGCAGGGGACAGAAGTAGGCATGGCCAAGCAGAAGATTCTGTACTCTAAGAAAGCCACAAACTCCTGCCTGGGCTGTGGGTGGAGCAGCACCCCAGCTATGGGAAATTTCAGGAGTGTGGGTGGCTCACAGCACATCCCTGACCAGGTCACTTCTAACAGATTACCTCATCTGGACCCTAGCGGTCAGAGATGACCCACTTCACACCCTGGATGCCCTCAGAATCTGTTTGTAATAGAGGTCCTTCCACAGAGTCTGGGGCCAAACAGGTGCCCCAGACCTCAGACTTCTTTAGATCTTTAGATCTACATGTCCTGTGTCAAGGAGCTCCCTGCATTGGATCTGGGGCAGCACCTGTGATTAAACACTGCTGTGAGCTGAATTGTGTTCCCCAAAATTGGTGTGTTCAAGTCCTTACCCCCCAGGACCTCAGAATACGGATGTATTTGGAGATGGGGTGTTTAACAAGATCATTAAGGTAAAATGAGGTCATATGGGTGGGCTTTAATCCAATCCTTATTTTATTTTATTTTTAGAGATTTTATTTATTTGTTTGTTTATTTATTTATTTATTTATTTGAGAGAGTGAGTGATAGAACACAAACGGGGTGAAGGGACGGGGGAGAGAGAGAAGCAGACTCCCCGCAGAGCAGGGAGCCTGACACCAGGCTTGATCCCGGGACCGCAGGATCATGACCTGAGCTGAATGCAGAGGCTTCACCGACTGAGCTACCCAGGTTCCCCACAATCCTTATTTTAAAGGGAGATTAGGGTGCACAGAGGAACAACCATGTGAGGACATAGAGAGAAGACAGTTGTCCACACTGCCAGGAGAGAGGCCTCAGAAAGACACCAACCCTACCCACATAATGATCTTGGACTTCCAGCCTCCAGAACCATGAAAAACAAATTTCTGTTGTTCAAGTCTCCAGTCTATGTGACTTCATTCTTGGGATCCTGGCCAACTGACACAAACACTGATATTTATGCAGTGAAAACACGATATTCACAGTAAATGGAATAATGTAAGTGCCACAAATGTCCTCACCTCAGTTCAGGTGAGGTTTGCCATCAAAGGAGGTAAGAAGAAATGTTTCCTTTTGAGAGCTTTTTGGGTTTCAGAATTGCAGCTGAGTGGGTATGTAGGTGTAGGTAAAAGCATAATCGACTTACAGGAACTGCTAAATCACAAAGTATATTTGGTAGGCCAGCATCACTGACCACTTCTGTTGCTTCGATTTGAGTTAACAAATCTCTCCAAGTACCACCGAGGAAGGGCAGACACCAGAGGGACCCAGGAGGCTGGTGACAAAGCGGGCAGGGCAGAGGTGGGAGGGTATTGTGAACATCAGACTCCAGTGGGCCCCGTGAAAAGGAACCCGCTGATTGGCTTAGGAAAACATACTTGACCCATCTTTGAGGGAAAAGCAAGTTTCAGACCACCCTTGTATTCGTTTCCCAGGGCTACCATAACAAAGTACCACAAACCAGGGGGCTTAAAACAACAGAAATGTATTCTCTCACAGTTCTGAAAGCCAGAAGTCTAAAATCCAGTGTCAGCAAGACCAGGCTGGGCCCTGGAAGTTCAGGGGAAGGATCCTTCCTTGACTTTTTCAGCTCATGGTAGGTCCAGCAATTCTCAGTGTCCCATGACTTATAGATGCGTCCCTCCAGTCTCTCCAACACTGCCATGTGCACAGGGCCATCTTGCCTACGTGTCTCTTCTTCTCTTCTTATAAGGACTGTAATCATATTGGAGGGGCGCCTGGGTGGCTCAGTCACTAAGCGTCTGCCTTCGGCTCAGGTCATGATCCCAGGGTCCTGGGATCGAGCCCCACATCGGGCTTCCTGCTCCGCCGGAGGCCTGCTTCTCTCTCTCCCACTCCCCTGCTTGTGTTCCTGCTCTCACTGTGTCTCTCTCTGTCAAATAAATAAATAAAATCTTTTTAAAAAAATCATATTGGGGTGGGGGGATGGGTTAGCCTAGTGATGGGTATTAAAGAGGGCACGTTCTTCGTGGAGCACTGGGTGTTACGCACAAACAATGAATCATGGAACACTACATCAAAAACTAATGATGTAATGTATGGTGATTAACATAACAATAAAAAATTTTTTAAAAAAAGAAAGAAAAGGGAACCAATGTTCCCGAGTTATCTAATACAGCCAGTAAGAGGCAGGTCAAGTCAGTTGGCACTGTCTGACTTCCAAATCTGTAAAATTGTCTTTGTTTTGGTATCTTTTTATAATAGAATTTTTGAAACAAAAGAGTTATATTACCAATCTGATCCATCACCAAGCACCAACAATTATCGGGACATAAAATACATTAGTTCCCCCTTATCCACAGTTTGGCTTTCCATGGTTTCAGTTACACGTGAGGTCAACTGTGGTCTGGAAACAGATGACCCTCTGACTCATCCGAAGGTCATCAGTAGCCTAACACTATGTCACAGTGCCTGTATCATTCACCTCACTTTACCTCATCATGTAGGCATTTTATCATCTCACATCATCACATGAATAAGGATGAGTACAGTACAATATTTTGAGACTGACCACTCTTTTATTAAAGTATATTGTTATAACTGTTCCATTTTAAAAAAAATCATATTGGATTGTGATTAATCCACCCTACCCCAGCTCGACCCAATTGATTACTTCTACAAAGATCCTGTTTCCAGATAAGGTCCTATTCACAGGCACTGGGAATCAGGACTTCAGTGTATGTTTGTGGGAAACACAATTCAACTCAATACAACCCTAGATAGTACAGTTTGTGCCTCTGTGTGGTGGATACGTGCAGAGAGATTTCCAGGCACCAAAAGGTTTTAGGAGATCCCAGCAAAAATTTCTCAAAAATACCCAAGATCTTTGTTTTCAGGAGCAGATGGGACTATCAGATTATGGCCATTGTTCTTAAACAAGTTGTGGCATTGTTCATTGTTCCTGATAGCTATAAATTGTAGGTAACCCAAAGATCCATCCCCAGCAGTATGGATAAATAGAGAATGCAGTATGTCTCAAAGTGTGGCCCCAGGACCAGTAATACCAGCATTACTTGGGAAGCTGTTAGAAATATGAATTATCAGGGATGCCTGGGTGGCTCAGTCAGTTAAGCATCTGCCTTTGGCTCAGGTCATGATCCCAGGGTCCTGGGTTCAAGTCTCGCATTGGGCTCCCTGCACAGCGGGAAGCCTGCTTCTCCCTCTGCCTGCCACTCCCCCTGCTTGTGCTTGCTCTCTCTCTCTCTAACAAATAAAATCTAAAAAAAAAAAAGGAAAGAAAGATGAATTATCAGGGCACCTGGGTGGCTCCGTCAGGCATCCAACTCTTGATCTCAGCTCAGTCTTGATCTCAGGGTTGTTAGTTCAAGCTCTGCATTAGGCTCCACACTGGGCATGCAGCCTACTTTTAAAAAATTTTTTAATTAAAAAAAAAAAAAAAGAGGGACACCTGGGTGGCTCAGTCGGTTGAGCGTCTGCCTTCGGCTCAGGTCATGATCCCAGGGGCCTGGGATCCAGTCCCTCATAGGGCTCTCTGCTCAGCGGGGAGTCTGCTTCTCCCTCTCCCTCTGTTGCTCTCCTTGCTTATGCTCTCTGTCTCTGTCTCTCTCTCTCTGACAAATAAATAAATAAAATCTTTAAAAAAATAAAAAAATAAAGAAATACGAATTATCAGAGGCACCTAGCTGGCTCAATTGGAAAAGCATGTGACTCTTGATCTTGGAGTCATGAGTTTGAGCCCCACATTGGGTGTAGAGATTACTTAAATAAATAAAACTTTTTAAAAAAAGAAAAGAAATACAAATTAT